CATCGGTCGGCGGGTGGTGAGCAATTGCATTGTGCATCACTTGCTTTGTATATTCTATTATTAATATTATTATTATTTTATTTCAATTATTAAACTGTTTTTATCTCAACCCACAAGTTTTCTCACTTTTACTCTTCCGATTCTCTCCCCCATCCCACCGGGGCGGGGGGGAGTGAGCGAGCGGCTGGGTGGTGCTCAGTTGCCAGCTGAGGTTAAACCACAACACTCAGAGAGCCTGGTCATCCGTGAGGTGGCTATGTCCTAAGCCAGCAGAACTTCATTGGTTAAAACAAGCCCTACTCCTCCAGCCCTGGGTCAGTACGGTATGCAAAGCAGCCATGGTACGCGTGCCGGTTGTGAGGCTTAGCTTAGGGAGGGGAAAATGCATCCTTCAAGCAGGGATGTTAATGCATATGACTTTGCTAATATTGTGTTAAACTTTTTGAACCACGACCAGACATCCTGTTTTTCCTCTAACAAGACCTTTGTCCAAATTTCTGGCTGCCTGGAAAGCCAAAATGATATTATGGCTCTAACATATGGATCAGGATGCTACTGCAATGGCACAGCTGAACAGCTCTCTTTGGGCACCCATGGCAGGCAGATGCGTGATCTGCTTTTTAAGGCCAATATGCGGAGTACTGGTACCAAGCTATGAATTTTGTCTTCATGGCGGGAGTCTTGAGCCACTTATAGATGCCACATAGGGCTCCTGAGCTGTGATCTGGTCTCTCCTGCTGCAGCCTATTGCAGAAATCTCAGTAGTGGCAATGGCAGAGGATATGTCCATGCTGGCATGTGTCTGAGGATCAAGTATGTATGTTGGCACCTTACAGGTCTATTAGCTGCAGCAGAACAGGTTTAATATGAGAATGTCTCAGTGTTAACCACTGAGTAAGCTTGGAGTAGGTCACTATTACCTGCTTGTTAATAATTATTTTATGCCAATCAGGTTACAGAAACAGAAAAAAACTTCCTGATACATATGACAGTTGCTTTGTGACAAAGCAACACCTCTTTTTTTCCCCCCCTCTGACAGTTTATAGAGCAAGCAGCAGTGAATACTACTGCAGGTTGAAAACTATGTGCCAATAATGAACAGTCCTTGCATGTGCATCCAGGAGCCATACATTACAATAGTAAAGCACTCACTAAAGCAAACTGTGAAGTCCTTAACTGTTGTGAAGGAGACTAGCCTGACCTGCGTTCATCTTCACTCTGCATTTCTGAACATCTTTGTTCCTTTAATCTGCACTGATGGGAATACATAACCATGTAAATCTGCATTTTCTCATAATCATCTAGAATGGCACATACAGTGAAAACAGCTTCAACCACACTTTAGCAAACTGCTGAGCTATGCAGGGTGGTGTAGAAAGAAATGGTTCTTATTCTAATTAAATATTGCATTTAATTTTTGACAGAGATGAAACATACCCATTAGGAAATCAAAAACTGTCATATCCATTATATCCAGAATTCTGGTCCCACTGTCATACGGGGGCGTTTGTTTAACCTCTTCACAATAATCTGGATCAACTTCCCATCTGGAAAAGCCAATATTTTGATATTTTATGTGACATACAAAGCTTACTGAGTATTAAAAAAAAAAAAAAATGTTATTTTGCAAAGATCTAGTTGTATCACGTTTGATTGAGGGCAGGGTCAGGTAGAGGCAGCAAATTCTTCAGGCCGCTTCCAGTAATGCAGGCAACCGATAAAGTTTGTGACTGATGAAAAAGGAAGAAAATCACAAGATTGAAAACTACCTGGCTAATAGCTTCAAGATTTAGGAGACCAGCTGCACCATCAGTCATATGATGAAAGCATCTGAGACTTGTTTAGGGCTGCTGATAGCAGTGAATCTTTCTCCCTCTGATAGGGCTTAGACAGGTCCTGTTGCATCCTGTCAAAGCCACTGGAGGTATCTGTCCCACGAGGGAATTATGCCATTGAAGGTCCTTTCAGGTTCAGGACCATAAGCTGGAGCTCCTTGCAAGTGTAAGTACTCTGTCCTTTCCCAGGAGCTGGACCCGCTGAAGAAATGCAGATGCTCTCCTAAGCCTCAATGCTTGAGATCAGGCAAGGGCAGTAACTGCAGCAGTGTTTTATTTTCCTATCACCCTTTGCAGCTGGCGAACCCTTTGCTCACCACTACTCACTCTGCTTTCTTGCGCTTGTGGTAGGAACGTCTCCAAGGGTTTCTCCAGGTTTTCCTTTTAGCTAAAGACAAATCGGGTAGGAAAGCAGCCAGAGACCCTTCGATCTGATCTGGTTTTCCACACAAGGCGTGCTCAGTTGAGCAGTAGTAGGAGCATTCCCCGTAGAAGCAGATGTTGTTGGCTGGCAAATAAAGGAAAAGAGTTTTAAAACCTACCCTTAAATTAGTGTTCAAGAATTCATAAAAACACTGGTGTATGTGAAAGAACACGAGCAGAAATAAATCTCAGACCCAAAACCCCATTACCGCACCTCGTTTTCTTCCACTGAAACCACTAGAAAGACATTCATTTCAGTGGTGGGGATCACACCCTATGCTGAGCTCTCTGTGACTATTTCCAGTCTATTTATATTCCAAAAAACACAATATTTTTTTTTTTAATCCTTTCCCTTCTCCTTTCATTTCCCAGACTTATACATCCTTTGGGATATATTTCTTACCCCAGGCTGGAACCCCAAATCCCACAGCTGAACAAGTGGCACGTGCCCAAAATTAAGTCACCTTTCAAAATCTTGGCTCGTTTCTTTAAGAACAGACAACAACATTTCATTCATTTACTTGCTGGTATGAGAAGAACTGGCAGTTTTACTACGGAGAATTATTTACCATGAAGACTCATGTGGGGGTGTGTGTGGAAGGTGGAAATAGCACAGATGTAACTCTGTCACCACACATCCTAAACACAAATTTCTTCCTGCACACATCACGTTACTCCAACAACCACAGAAAATGAACCTGCAGCCGGTTTTGGAGCATGTGTTACCTTAAAACCTCCCCAAAGCTGCCACCACATATTTCTGTGCCAACGGGAACACCCACCTCTTTACAAGAACCCCCTTCCCACATGAATTCACTGGAGGTGGGAGAGAGCAGCTCATCCCCAAACCCCACCAACACTGGACTATGAACAAGAATAGGAGCACAATGCTGATCTTCTTGTTAGTGTGCTACAATTCTTTTGACATTGCTTTATGCACATAAAATGCCATTAGAGGAAGACTGTGCCCTTTCCTTACGGTAATGCATGAAGCTGAGAAGTCACATTGCTTCCTAATTCCCCACAAGGCCTCTAAATTCAAATATCGCTTCTGAGCTACTCTCCCTTTGGGCAGGATCAGTATAAATGAGGCAGGAAGGGCTGGTGAACAGAGGGAAGTGATTTTCTGCCTGCCACAGATGACCCCGTGGCTCGGATAGGTAAGCTGGTGGGTTTTCATCGCAGCGATGCTCTGCAGCGCACCGCCCTGCACATTGCTGTGACATCCCCCCAGTCCAGATCCAACCTACGTCCAGCAAAGCACCCGGTGGAGATGGTACACTGCTGGTGGGCGAGGCAAGGGAGACGATGAGTCAAGAGGACAGGGAGCAATACCGGCCCCAGTGCTACAGAGATAACTGGAGGGAGGGAGAAACAGGGCAAGGAGCTGCGACTGGGGAAGGAGGAGAAGGAGAATGTGGAAAAGCAATAAGGGCTCGTGATGTTTTTGATTGTATTAATTAACCGTATTATCTGGGACAGACTGCTAACCGTGGAATTACACCAAATAATTGGACTATAAGGCTGATGTGTACTACTTGACAGTTTGTCACAGCTCTTCATTTCCAAGCCTCTATTGACGGCCATCAGATTTGTCCATTAAGTTGTGATTACTTTACTCTGGACACAGCCTTTTCGAATCCCTCTGCTGTGACTGACTCATAAGGACCACCCATCTATCTGTGCTCAGGAACTACTCCAGCCCGAACTGTATATTTACATTCACAGGGTTGGCTCATACCAGTTAAATATATCCTGACTCAGTCCAGAAATATTTACCCTGTGGTCAAAAACCTCGTTGACAATTACTGGAAGAAAAGTACTTCAGGGAAGAGAAAATGAAGAACAGAAATTACAAAAGGAAGGAAGGGAGCACTCAACATGTCTATACTTTTAATTTTGTAATTTAAAGTGTTTTACCATGCAGAATATCCTTTCTTAAAAATTATTTTAAAAGCTTTTTCTTACATACAAGGCATACTTAGTCCCTTAACATTTTAATTAAAGGAACAGTAGTTTGAGACTTCCCATGAGCTAAGAAGTGACCATGTCCTTGGGCAATAAGCCACTTGGCTTGGCGATTTCCTATGAACCCCAGCACAAGTCTTGGCGCTGCTCACCACACGATATGCCTATTAACTTCTAAACAGAACCCCCACTCATTTTTCCTTTTAAGCAACGCAGTAATATAAGTCATATCTATGAGAGTGAAGTTTTGGAAACCTTTTTACAAATTGCATGGGAAAAGAGCACTCACAGTTAGGGAAATGTGGGTTGGAAGGGACTCTGGAGGCCTCTGGTCCAAGCTACAGCTTCAGGCCAGCTTCTCCAGGTTAAAAACAATCTGAAACCCTCAGCTTCTCCTTGTACACCAGATGCACCAGCTCCAGGACCATCTCAGTGGCCCTTCTTCAGACTCACTCATTTCATTAGTCTAAAATCAAGTGTAAAGTCAACCTCTAGACAAACCCAACCTAACACAAGCCCTGGGCGTGCTGCCCTGCAGTCTGTAACCTCTCACGGGTTTCCTTTTCAAAAATGCTGTTGCAGCATGGACTTGGCACAGCTTTTGCAGGGCTAACGCAGGTGCCTCAACTTCGCCTTTGATCATCCTGGCAAAACCAGGAGGGCTTCATGCCTCCCTGTGAACCTCTTCCATAACTAATTCATGATGAAAGTGAAGAGTTGTCCAAGCACCTGTGGGCAGCAATGCCAGCTGCAGACGGCCTGCAAACGGGAGGATCATACTGGGCTGTTAGGAAGGTTGGGATATTCTCAGCCAATAAAAACTGGGGAAAAACATCTGTGACTTATATCCTTAAAAGAAATTATTGCAGACAAAATATTTCAAGGGGTTCCAGGCTGCCACAAGGGATGATTTACAAGAAATCACATACAGATGCTGCTTGCTGCAGGCTAGCACAGAAGAGTTAGGAGATACAAAGAGATCCCTTATTTCCCAGGTGCTGGCTGCCTCGGTGGGAAGGTGGGGCTCTCCCCTGCGCTGCAGCGAGGGTTTATGTTTCCACCGATTTGAAGCTGCAGTGGGGCTTGTGCTTCAATTCAGCTGTGTCAGCATCCCCCACTCGTCTGTGGAGGGAAGGAACCCACGCAGATTTATCTTGATCGCCTAAGACAATTTATCTTCCAGGGTTTCTATGACCTGACTTCCACCTGGCAGTGGGAAGCTGATGCTCGGTTATCTGCCGCCGTAACTGTTTTGTAAAGAGCAAAAGGGCCAGCAATGCCCCTCCCGTGCTATCGCAGCCTCTGCTGCTCACTATGTAAATCTGACCTTTCAAAAAAGTAATTATATTAAACACAGCACTTTGCACAGTGGGAAGATAAATACTGTGTTTAATAGTTTGCTTCTGAATTTAAGTTTGGGAACAATGAAACCCTGCTCCGTATTGTCAACGAAAGCAACTGGGACTGATCATTTGACAGTAATCACACATTCGTATCCAGATAAATCTTCAGGAAAGCTCGGGGGCTATGGCAGCGATGGCATTTGCCGCTGCAGAGTGACACAGCTAGCACGTCTGCTGCCTGCACCACGCCGGGCCATTCGTCCCCGCTCCTGCTGGGCTCCTCCAGGTATTGATTTTCCCACAGAGCCCCCATCGCCTGCAATGGGAGTCCAGTCCTCCGAGCGATGGCAGGATGCATCCTGTCATTAAGACAGCAAACTTGTGGTAAAACCGCAAGTGTAGTTCTCGGTGAGAAGTTACTTTCAATGGCAAAGCTTTTTCTGCCATCTGTTATTCTCCCTGTGGGCTCAGACCTGTGGTACTTACTCTCCACGGTTCCTGTCCGATTTCTGGGGGTAGTGGAGGTGAAAGGATGCTGTATCTCAAGTTACTATTAAAGAAATTAACTGCTTTGATTGATACAGAGTAGACATCTTGATACGTCTACCCTAGTTCTTATATAGAGGCAGTTAGATGAAGCAGTCTGAATTATCTGGGGAAACATTCATTTTTAAGTTTCTTAAAAACGTAGAAAAAAAAAGAGGTACCAAATACAGAAAAACACAGTTCTCATTTAAGACTTCAAGGTGCAGTATCAAGCCCCTTTGAAATCTAACTAGGTGACCCACATTCTGCACAGCAGACTGAGGGTGAAATTCCAGCTAGAGACACAAGCCCAAATGCTTCGCCGGCAATCCCACGCTAAGAGCAGGGTTTGGCCTTTCGAAGGCGACATTCAGAGGGAAGGGGGAGATGAGGTCTAATTGGAGTGTGGTCCTTCTCCTCCCATTAAAATTGCCCAGCCCATATGTTCCTCTCTCATACGATACAGGTGTTTCTGTACAGGCCCCCATCCCTAAGTACACCTGCAAAAGAAGCGACCACCAGGAATTTGTGTTCCTGCAGAGTGGGTAGAAATGGAAACAGCAGCAGTGCTGGCAAACCACAAAGGGGGGGATGTTTATTCATGCTGAAATGTTCAAATGCTGGGAATTTGCAACATGCAAACTCCTTCTTCATTAAAAAACAAAATTGTTTCCCCAAAGCACTAGAGAGGCAAGAGAATCCTGAGCGGTGTTGCAAATGTCTAATTTTCATTATCTGAGGATGAATGGATACAATTCATAATGAAATCCATGCAAAAATCATGGTCTGGTGATCGAAACTCCAACTAATCACAACAATTAAGAACCAGCGTGTCTGTGTACTCGTCTGCACATTTTCTGTGCGTCATCCTGATAGCTGAACAATAATTCTTCTCAGGAAGAAAAGGAACAAGTGGAGATACCTTAAAGCAAATCGCTTGGCAGAGCAATTCTTTTATTGAGATTTGCATGACTGTTAATGGAGGACATTTAGCAAGCCTGTGCAACTGGAGTACTGGAAAGAATCCTGAACATTTACTAAAGCAATGCATGAAAAGAGCTTTCTTTTACCTGCTCAAAATAATAGCTAATTCAGAATTGCTATTGTTTGCTGAGAGGGGAAAAAAAAATCCATAATCCCTTGGAATTGGTTAATATGAACAAAAACATAGTGCTTACTAGCTGTGTAACATTGATTTCTTTAAGCTGCTGCCTCAATTACTTCCAAAACGAAGACTGACATCATTAATATGTCTCTTTTTCCCTAGCAAATTACCATTCATTTGTAAGAGTAGCAGGGCTACTGCAGTCTGCCCTACTGCAAAGGATGTAAAATTAATTTAAATAATTACTGACCTAATTCCATTTCTCATGTTTAGTCCAAACTGCCTGGAAGTGCACTTTTTTGCAATCTGCTTTCTCTCTGAATGCAGCCTAATGCATTGACTGACCTGTCTGCTCGCAGCCCTTTCCTCTTTGCAATGGAAGAAGGGATGCCACTCTGCAGTGTGCTCTGAAGCTACAGCTGCCTGCAGCTTCCTGGCAGTAAAAGGCCCTGATTTTCATGCCTGATGGGACGAGTGAGATGGCCCAGGCGTGGAAATGCAGCGAGGTTTCTTCCAACACATCCCCGCTCTGGTCCAGGGAATAATATGGTGTATTGATGAGCATCATCAATATCATCATCAACCCTCTGAGGGTTTCCACTGCAAACAGTGGTGTCCCAGCCTGAGGGGAGGAAAGTTGTATAAAATCAATTACATTTAGTGCTTGTTTAATTTTAACAGATGTATATGGGTGCATGGAGAGGGAAACATTGCCAGCACACACAATGTGTCTCCATGACCGTTAATTGTTGCTGAGCACTGCTGGGGATGGAGATGCAGAGACACAGGCACCTGAAGGGGAGTCCCAGAGGGGCCTCGATAGCTTAATGCAGGTGCACAGACTGGTTCGTGCAAGTATCTATACATCACACCACAATTTCTCAGCTTTGTAACCCATTCTCCCTCAAAACCAACTGAATTTGCTGCCCCTCATCTGCCAGAGGGGGCAAGTCAGCCTCTTCCAGTCTTCTCCAGGCTCCTGGTCCCTCTCCACCCTCACCTCCCCAGGCCACAGGGCTCGTCCCAGCACCCTCCTCTTTTCCCTTTTCTGCCCTCAATCTGCTGCTTGAGCTGCCTGCTAGGTTTGTGAATTTGTTTCTAAATGCTTAATTTAGGACCTTTATTACTTTTTCATTAAGCATTAATTAATGCCTGCCTTTTAAGGTCAGTATGAAATACAAGACGGAGGTTGGGCATATGTTAATGAGAACCCAACTAATTAAACTGGGGACTTGTAGGGAAGAACTCTAACAAGTAACCAACATGATTTAAGCAAAGTATATTGATTTAGGAAATGTAAAATGGAAAGAAAAATTAATTGCTTAAGCATTTTATTCTCCAGAAAAGCCTGATTCATAGTTAATCAAATATTTTAATTGAATTTATCTGAGGCCTCTAAATAAATTTGAACAAAGGATTATGCTTGGATCATCCCTTGGATGTCTGGAATTTCATAATGACAAGATAAAGATCTTCATCCGAACCGGCAGCCTTAACTCTGCATTGCCATGCTCTGGCTGCTGTAAGCTGCTCAGTACTTGAGTATAGTTTTGTAATTCTCAGAAATCACTCAAGTTCACCCCTAAGCCTTGATATATAACCTGGGAGGACTAAAAAGCAAGCAAAACTACTAATCTGTGTCTTACTTTCTAAAATGGGAATAAAATCGATTATATTTCAAATGTGCACATAAACAGCCACAAGATTTTTTGGCCATCTTTTGTGTGTGATTGTTTGCCTACAAAAAAATCAAGCAAAACAAAAAATGTACAGAGACAGAGAGAGAGGGGGAGAGAAAGTGACTGAGATACAAGTGCCTAGCACACAGAAATGTCTGCACATCAGGTTTGGTGAACGCTGTCGCCATGTGCTGTCGCCATGTACTGTCACCACAGTCACCATGACTGCACATGTAAAATTGGAGCGCTCATAACACAGGGTAAGATGAAACCTCTTGTAATTATGTAATGTATTTTACAAGTGAAATTACTGGAATAAATAACTGTCTGCTCAACTGTGTGTCCTGCAGAGCTAACAAATAAAAAAAAAAAAAAAACCACACCCCAACCCCCCCCAGCCATAATAATGACTTTATTGGTGATCACAAAAGTGTGATAAACATTTTAAGAGAGAAAGCTCTGCAATGACAGGGCTCTGGTTTCTAGCTAACAGCAATAAATCACAGTTACGTTGGGAGAAACTGTAATTAAGTCTTTGGATCTTGACTTTAGGGATCTGGGATAAACAGCTTCTGGCCAATCACACACAGAGCAAGGGAGAGATCTCCGGAGATTTCTGCTCCAGATTGCCTGTTACACAAGTCACAGCCCAAGTTCAGCAAAGCACGTTTGCACGCAGCTGAAATAATATGAGTTAAGCTCACTGGAACATAGCTACATGCTCTAAATTGAATATTTGCCTATATATTCTTTCTCCAAGAACATACCTAAGTATGTATTTTTGTGCCTTAACTCAGAGCCTTAATTTCTCCGCTCAGCATCCCATGCTAAGCGGAGATGATACCACTTTCTCCCACCCTTTGCCCATCTTTACCTATTCTAGATGTATATTCTGGTGAGCAGGGCATGGTTTTACCCTGTGTTTGTAAATTCCCACCCTGTGGAGCTCCATCCTTGGCTGGGGCCGCCAGATGTTGTGAAAGAGTGAAGAGTAATGGAAATAGAGAGTGGTATCAGTTCTTGGGGTCAGCCCTGAAAGCAAGAACAAGGACTGGGAACAATTCAGGTCACTTCTACTCTGGCCTCTACCCAGCGGAGAATTTGAGCTGGAAGCAGGATATGTTACACATCTATTTGCTTGATTTTTTCCAAACTCCTGTTGTAACAAAAACTGAGGTTCAAGACTCTGAGAAAATTAGGTTTTGGTCCTCCAGTCAAAATCGAGAAATAAATGCATCTGACCAACAGAAGTGATGAATCACATTGCAGTAGAAAAAAACGTCTAAATAACTAATGGGCTAAGTAATAAGGTTTTGGGTAAACTGAGAGCAACAGAAGAAATTGCTTTAGAAATTACTCTACATAAAACATTTGTTGAATACATTGCTTTTGTGAACATAAAAGCCTGTCTCTGCGGATAATTTGTCAAGAGGAAAAGGCACTAAATTCAAAACAATAAAGTCTTCTCTGTAGGCTGTGTCTCCACATTTATTTTTATTCAAAGGTCTAGAAGACAGTTCTATTAGAAATATCTGAGCTATTAAGCAATCTACACATTGTTCCCTTAAGTACATGTTCGGCAGAATAGAAAGAATATAGTGTTATTTCCAAGATTACCTGGTGAGATGAAAAACGTTCTCCACAGTTTCTTGTCACGAGTAACATCTCGTATTTCTCTCGTCATGTTAACCAATCTACCTGCAACTGGTGGCACACGACGGAAATCCAGGATCCTGGAAGAGAAAGAAAAGAGGTAGTTTATGTAAAGGATTAAAATATAATGATAGTGATAGGTTTTAGGAATGTTCATTACACACTGAAGGCACATTTATCTGTGGTCTTTAAGGAGTAAAAAGCCCATCAACTTTAAACTGGATAATCCTTTGTATAATATATTACAAAATATGTCCTGAATATGATCAGCTCTGACTTGCCTGCATAGTATGGAGCAGATGCAAAATACAGAAGAGTATGGGAACACATTGTTCCATGAAAAGAAATCAAGAATTCCAGAAATAAGAGACTGCAGAAGCTTAATTTTGACTTTATGCTACTTCAGGATTGTTATAACATGCATTTTGCCCACCAATTCTTTAAGTGACTTGAGGAATGGGATTTCAGCTTCTTTCTTCCATAAACACCATCTAATAGATTTAAAAACTAGTAATTTTTTTTCCTGACAGTCTTAATATTTGTTTGATTTATTTGCTTCTGCTCCTCTCTGTTTTAATACACTTACACCAACCTAAACAATCTCCCTGAGGCTAAAACTTTTCCCACAGGCAAAGGCTGGGTGAAGAGCCCTTCTCTACTCAAACTCCCCCGCCTTTGTAGATCATTAAAAACTCCCTACGAAGCATTGCTATTAGATACAGCAAAAGAGCAAAGTCCCAATACAAAACCTCCCCATAGGTGGGATTTTTATGTCCACTGTCTGCTGATAAGATTTTCTACACTGGGTAGCAACTGCTTTTTCTGCTTAGTGTGTGGATATTTAACATACCTCCCTGCAGGAATTCCATTAATGGTTTTTCCTACAGCACCATCTGCTTAAAATGGCAATATAAAATATAAAGCAGAAGGGATCAACGCCAAGGTCAACAACAATAAAATATAGAAGATCCTTGAAGGATCTGACCAGGATGGCTCTTAATGGCAAATCTACCCTGTGCCACCCACTGATAGGTGCCCTCATCCTAACCATCAACCCAGAAGGCAGCAATACTACACGTACCCCCAAGTAAGTTGTGGCCCCAAAGCTTCAAGCTTTTGAAGGATGTTTCTCGGCACTTCAGGGTGTGAAAGATGTTTCAGTTCTAACTCAGCCTGTGAAATGCCATGGTTTCTAGCCATACTGTTAATAGCTCCTCACTAATTATTAATTCCTGCTCCTAATCTGGGCAGGCTGAAGGGCTGCAGTCCATTCCGAGCCTTGGGGTATCCACCACACCCTGCACTAAGTCTGCCTGCGGGGACACTTTCAGCTAACAGCAGCATGGGATGACCATCAGTGCCCTCTCCTTCCTACTAACTTGTGGCCTAAATATGGTCCTGATATGGGACGGCCCCAGCTTTTTGCTGTGAAACCGGAACTCCCTCCCCATCTCAATTATTCCTCTCTCGAATACTCGCACCATTCCCCACGTTTCGCTCGGATTTGCATGCCCTGGAGCTAATTGGGGTGAGCCAGACCCCCGTCACATTTATGCTACATATTCCCCAGGAGATGGGTCCTCTCCATATGCACTTCAGGATTGCAAGGGAAATTCATTTCTCGGCTTCTCTTCAATATATTTTCTCTTTCTTTTTGAGAATTATTGTCAGGTTTCTTATTCCCAGAGCAAGTCGCATTTCCTAATGATTAATCTACCCTTTCATCATCTGCCATTTCATTTATTTATGGCGTTTGCCCACCTTTGTTCCATTTTCCCCTTTTTTAAAAGTAATTCAGTTACAGGGCTGGCCAAGTGCAGAAACTTATCACAATATTTCCACTTTTCTTTTAATGCAAATCCGTTTTACTTGCCTGTCCAAATGAAATGCTGCTATTTCTGCATTATGTCTTTCATAGTCTGAGAAATAAAAAAAGTCAGGCGGGGTTTCTTGTTCTCTGGTTTGTCTGCAAAATAAAACAAGGAAAGTGTTTTACTGAAGGGTTAGCATTTCTAAGGAGCAGTACTCAGTCATCAGCATGTTATTCAGGAGTTCAGTATTGTTTGCTTAATGGAAGGCCTTTAAATACTTCATGTGTGCATTATTTGCCATGTAGCCTTCATTTTGTCTTCTTTTTAAAACTACCGTAACAAAAAACAGGAATTCAAGACTTGTGCATGCAGGCTGCTGTCACAAAGCTATTCCACTCAAGACTCTCGCTCTATTTAACAAGATCTGTTTTATCACTCTCAAACATTTCATTAGTGATAGTGGTGAAGACAATGTCATTTCATTAAATTATCATTAACTGTAATTATGAAATTTCCGAAAGTAATAACATTTTTCTTTCATCCTTGGCAGCCATGCAGCTCCTATCTAAAATATGACTCTCCCTTTGTATTACTTAGAGCCAAAAGTGACATGTTTTTCTCATTTCAGAAGAAATGGGATCATTGCAGTTTGACGGCCACGACACATGTCATGTTTCAAAGAACATTAACAAGACTGTGCTCCAGAGAGGATGCAGAATTTGTTGTTTCTTCAGTTTGAGAACCAATAAAAAATGTCATTCTGATGGAAATAGAAAGGCTAAATCTTCAACACCGAACTTCATGGAAAATAGAAAGCTCTATATAACAGAGGAGCAAATCTCTGTCTCACTCTAGGCAATTTCCAGTCCTGATGGCTTTTGGATGGAGCACAACTCAGGCAGGTGACCAGTACAATGTCTGGGCCCCACCTTAACCTGCATCATGCCCTATTTTGAAGTCTTAAATAGGAGATAAGCACTGCAAAGCTGTTCTGCAGAGCATCTGCAAGGGAGGACACTTCCCTAGAAGAGGAAAACAAAGCTCTTTCTCATTCCCCACTGTCACAGGTGGCCAGCTGACAGCTCGTGCGTCACACACGCTACACACTGGCAATTAAAATACAGCTTCTACACCAGGACCTTGTCGCATGAAAGGCTTTGGGGTGGTGCGGGTGCAGAGCTCAAACCTCCAGAGAATTTGCAGCAAGTCCTAATTACGGGGCTTGTTGGGAACCTGAAGCTGTGCCCGCCCACACTCATTCATGGTGAATGGAGTTAAATCCAGTTGGCGGCCAGTCACGAGCGGTGTTCCCCAGGGCTCAGTTTTGGGGCCGGTCTTGTTCAATATCTTTATCAATGATCTGGATGAGGGGATCGAGTGCACCCTCAGTAAGTTTG